GAGCATACTTAGACCAGATTCCTGTGAATACCCTCTCATAGGATAAAAATCAGTAGTTCTATCCTTTCTCTAAATGCATCTCACATCTTTAGAACTGAAATGGATTCAGAGACCATGGGGCTCAGACAGAAATGGGAACAAGATACTGTGCACTGTGTGTGACACATAAACTCCCTTTCTGCTTTCTGTTTTGCCCAAATGCCAGGAAGTGTGCATGAGTGCTACTGAATCCATGCCTCTTTAGAGACCTAAATCTGCAGATTTGAATTCTGAATGAAAGGTCTAAGGTTCCTCAAGATGCATTAGACAGGTTCCAAAGAGGAAATTTTCTTCCTGTTTTCCTTCCCTCTCTGTAAAAGCAAAGGATACACAAGTGTATACACACGTTGTATACACATGTTGTGTATCCTTTGCTTTTACAGAGGGAAGGAAACTAGACCTGGCCTCAACCTAGAATTCGCAAGACAGGGACATACTCTGGAATAAGGATGTACCAAAAACTCAGGGGAGACATATGCTGCAGTGTTAGAGATCAACATGGACTTGTAAGTTGAGTTTGAAAAAACCATTTTGGGGTGAGTGTAGACAATTTTCTAGATCTTCTGTAATGTCGTATTATAATGTCTTATAATGTCTTGTATTATAATGTCTTGTGTAATGTCATATTATAATTGTGTTAGAGGAATAGAAAGGCTGGCACCACATCTAAATTTTTCTGTAAATTATTGGACACTTACTACTCACCTTTTCTGGCACAGCAAGGATTAAATCACACAATGTAAAGGCTTCTTTACAGTGCAACATACTATACTTCTGAGCACATAGCACATGCTCAGTAGACATTGCATTATGCTGCTCTTCACTTTGGAAATTAAGTATATGTTGTGATGAGTGTAGGGCAAAAGGCAGTATGTATGCTGTGCTTGCTGTCTCTACCTGAGTTCTAATAATAATGGATCTAGATTGAACAACATCACCACTAAAAGAGGACATGTCAAAGAACCCAATTAATGTCCCCCTTCCACACCACCAGACCACATTTCTTAGAGTGAGGCCCACAGTACCACATGATTTATATTCACAGTGATGTTTCAGAGACAATTTTAAGATAATTATCTCTGAGCCCAGGCTTTCAGTTAGGATAACCTGGCTAGATTGAAGAAACACCATCACCTGCCTGTTGGGCTGGGTGGGAACATCCATGTGGTTTTAATTGTGCCCCACAAAATTCTAATTTGATACCAGCGTCAAGCATTAGGACTTCTGCATATATTCATGTGAATTGAGTTTAGCCTTTGTTTTAGAGGGAAGTCACAGGTTCTGCTCTCTTGGGTTTGGTAGAGGCAGATCAGTTTGGTACAGATTCCCATTCCTGTAGCAGAATCTCCTGGCACCTGTAGC